GAGCGGGCGGCCGCTGGGGTGGCGCGCAGCCCGCCCTCGGGGGCGGGAGGGGGTCGGTGCCCGGCGAGACCCCTCAGGAACCGAGGATACTGAGGTTCGGGAACGGAAGCACTGGCCGGCGGTCAACGAATATCCCCTACCGTCCTTATTTTTAAACACCCCAGTCGTGTGCCAGCGAGCTGAGTTACTTCTTTGTCTCTCGGGAGTATCCCAAACCTCGGATTAAATATGGCGTTAAAAGCTGCACTAATTTGCTTGTGAGTTAGGATCAAGGGTTACTTAGCTCTGTAACTGACCTCGTGGTATATATATAAAATATATATAAATCTTGCAATTTCGAGCAGGAAGAACTTCAGCAATAGTATCAATCAAACATTTTATTCTGTTGATACTTCAGTCATTTATGTATTCTGTTCATACTTTTTCTATTAACCGTATATTCTACAGTAAGCGCGTAATTTACACCCTACACTTTCATGTATACACTTCACATTTCACAATTTTCAAAAAGATGGTCTGAATACCAACAGTTTCAGTCATGACAGGGTCACTGCTGACAGTACTGCCAAGTGGTCTGCCACACCGCTGCCTGCCCTCAGGTTTCCATCCCGGCCCTCACTGGTGTCTTTGCTTGCCCTCAGGTTTCCATCCCGGCCCTCACTGGTGTCTCAGACTCCGGTTGGAAGGTCTGTGTACCAGAGGGGCTTGGCCAGATGTCTCCACAGGTGGGCTGCTGAGCGCTTACCCAACAGGCATCTCAGCGTCCCAGGCAAGGCTCTTGAAGAGCCAAATGACTAATAGAAGACCAACAAGCCCACTACCTTTGGCCACATTACTGGACTTCCCTGTTGTTCGCATAATGGTTAGATGAGCACCTAGATTTAGTCAATCTAATTACAGTATTTTAAAAAATTACAGAGTTTTCTTCTTTCTGAGGAGTAGAATTGTTCTTGATTGGTTGATGCAGCAGTTATTACAGGCCTCCCTTTCTTTGACAAAGAGCTAGCAAACAGCAGACTTGAGTGACAAGACTCCTCACTTGAGTGAAAGCAAAGTGCAGGTGATCTCTCTAAATGCATACAATTTGGCAGGAATTCCTTCAGAACCCCTGCAGCTGTATAGCATGAGGAGAGAACTCCCTCTG